ACAATACACATGACTGGAGAAACATGGTTTGTACCTATTCATCATTCTCAGAGTGTAACAAATGATAAAAATTTAACTAAAAAAAATTTAGGTGGCCAGAAAAGTGAAGATTCAAAATGCTTACAAGAAAATTTAACAGTTACTGGTGGAGGATGGCTTATAAAGCAGGGTCCTCTGAGCACCAGAAACCATAAAGGGGCAATGATGTCATTCAAGACAAGCTGGAGCCCACCTTCTATGAGTCTATGTTAAAGAAAAAATTGATCTCACACTTGATAAAATGGTAAAGAAGACTTTTTTTATTTAGGACTGCCGAGATAGGTGTCAAGACTATCACAATAAGAGAGATAAATCAGGCTTAATTCCAAATATAGAAAAGACAGCTGGGGATTTATAGCCAATGAGCAGAATGGACAGAGGGGTAGTCACTGAGAGGACACATGGAGTAGGGGGATTCTTGTTAAATTGACCCAAGAATATTCTTGGTGAGGGCAGGTCAAGGTCATCAGATATCACATAGGGGATGGTGGCGGGGGAGGGGAGGGGTGAGGAATTTGACCAGATATCAAGGGTGATCTGATATGGAGGGTAGGGGATTCTCTCTAAACTGATGTAGTGAGATTCTTGCTACAACTAAGCTGTGCTGGTCCAGTGAGGGAGTAGGAGGCTGAGGAACCAAGGTTGAGGCCTAGCTGAGGAGAAGCCTGACTAAAGTCTGGTCAAGGACAGAGTCCTTGTTATCGGTCAGGCACTGTTCTAGGTGCTGGACACTCCAGAGAGCAAGACAGACAAGATCCCTGATGTCATGCAGCTCACAAATACTCACACCGTGTTGTTGTTGTTTCTGCATGGCGAGAATCAGAATAGGGCAAAGGAGAACAGCCAACCGTAGAAGGAAAGGTATCAACTGAAAGCATGAGGAAGTGTGGTAATGGCTAGGACAAAAATCCCGTGGCCCTCAAAGAAAGAGGATAGCAACTCAGACAGCAACTCTCTGGCAGCCAGCACTGAACGGGGTGCGCTGTTCTTTGGAGGGCACCTGCTTAGCTGTTTTGAACACCTGGGAAATTACAGTAACTTCTAAGGCCCAGATGATACACCCAGTGCTTCTACACAGTGGTGAATGAGGTGAGTCAGAGGACTTACCTGGACAGAAAGGTCAGTAAAGGAGCAGCCAACCACCCTGAACTGCAGTTCTGTGGAAAGGCTATGGCCCACAGTATGTAACAGATGTATTCATATTATTTTTATTTTTTTTTAAGATTTTATTTATTTATTTGAGACAGAGAGAATGAGAGAGAGAGAGCACATGAGAGGGGGGAGGGTCAGAGGGAGAAGCAGGCTCCCCGCTGAGCAGGGAGCCCGATGCGGGACTCGATCCCGGGACTCCAGGATCATGACCTGAGCCGAAGGCAGTCGCTTAACCGACTGAGCCACCCAGGCGCCCCGTATTCATATTATTTTTAAGTGAAAATATTGCAGATGTAAATGGCGGAAAGGAGGTTGTCCAAGGAGAGATCGCTAACAGAGTGGCAAGATGGTCAGCAGGTTGGAGAAGAGAAATTAAAATTTACACGACAAACATAAATGACAAAGGAATCCAGTTTCACAGGGAACTCCTTTAACTCTCAAGATTCTAGGATTTTTTTTCCATCCTGTATTTATGTAGTTTTGTTTTCTCTATCTGCTGTTTTTCCTATGATATCATATAGCCATCAGCCACTTTTTTGTGTTTTTTGTGATTCTCATTTCAAAATGCACAGGGATAGAAGGTTTTCTTGGGAGACAAAGTTGATAGAAAAGTTAAAAAGTGCTACCTAAGTGAAATTATTTAGTTTTCCCGACAAGCTATTCAGTGATGTCGTAATAAATGAAGAATTAATTTGCATGAAAATGCTGATAATTGTCCCTGCCTTTAGGTAAAAGATTAAAATCATAGCAGAAAGGCTTTAGGTTAAATTTCAGCAACATAAAATGAAAGCTGTCATAACATTGGATTTAGTTTTTGGTCACTGGCTATTCAAGTTTAACTCATCTAATAGTTAACTAGCACATTTAGCATTTAAGTTAAATGTTATTCTTCCCCTCATTTAAAAAATGTAACAAAAATGGAGTGGGTAAAGAAACAGCAAGAAAAAAGATCTCTGGCATATAAACGCCCGAAATTTCAATTATCAAACTCTAAAAATTAGACACTTTCCCACATAGTCTTGTGTTTCATATGTTTTTGTCAATGAAAGGATGTTTTTTTGATTATGAACCTGGTTTTGCAGGAAATAAGTTAACACCAAGATCTGTGTTTAGAGCAGGTTTGATACTGAAGATAACTATTTATTCTAGGATATCCTCTATTTTCCTGTGGTACCCCAAATCAAAGTGTGCTCATTCCAAATATTTCTCTCAGTCAAGAAACAAAGGGGAAAAAAAAAAAGGAGGAATTCCTAAGACCCTACTATATGCCAGGAACCCTGCTAAGCCCTGTGCCATACCTCTTCATTATTCCTCACAATTCCTCCTGAAGTAGGCATTCCTTCCTCATTGGTAGTCATGGAAATAATGAGAGAAAACATTCCCACCCCAGGCTCACCAGTTAGTTAGTCTTGGAGCCGAGATTAAAATTCACATCTGACTTGAAAGTGTTCTGGTTGTTGCAATACATCCAACTGTGATCAATAGGGATTATTTAAAGAATTTTTAATGATCACTATCTCGATCTGCTAGGTCTCCCTTGTTATAAACTAAATATATTTAATGTCTTCAACTCACACATAGTACTTGTTTCTTAAATAGCAATAATCATATCATTGACTCCTAATGAACGAGCAGTCAATTAAAACAAACAAAAAAAACAAGATCTCTCTAATATTGTTGTATGCAATTGACTTAAACCCAAACATGGAAATGGATGCCCATTTCATCGTAATTAGTACTGGCCAATCACTGTAACTGTCCCGAGCTTTCAGAATCCCAGGACAGCCATTCAAAGGAGTAACTACTCTGAGGCTTATGTTATCCACAGATTTAATGCTAGTAAAGCAATGATTTAAAAATGATGGCAGGCCAAGCTAAACCCAGACTTTAGCAGCTGTCGCCGGGCAACACTCCCCAGTGCCTTCAGTACGCATATCAGGGTACAAATCAACAGCTTCGAATCCACGTATCCTACTATTTACTACAAAATCTATAGGATATCACATACTTTTCTAAGTGCCTCAATGAATTCCAAATACTGGTCGGTTTAGTCACCTTATTAAAAAATGACATCAGGTTAGCATGGTCAGACTTGTTTGCTTTATTCCTCTCCCTGTGGTTTTCCATGAGCTCACTGAGATGGTCTTTTTGACATGTCCTGAGTTAATCAATCAAATACTAAACTAGGTGTTACTGTAAAGGTATTTTACAGACGTGATTCAAGACCATAATCAGTTGACTTTAAGCAAAGGAGATGATCCTAGATAATCTAGGCAGGACTGATTCAACCAGTTGAAATGCCTTCTAGCAAAACTGACGCTTCCCTTCTTAAGAAAGAAGAAATACCACCTGTGGATGGCAGCTTCACCCTGTGCCTGAGAATTCCAGCCTGTTCTTCCTGGTGGCCTGCCCTACTGATTTCAAACTTAGCTAGCCAGTCGCGAAATCACATAAGCCCATTGCTTGCAACACATCTCTTCATGTATGTCTCCTACTGGTTCTGCTTCTCTGGTTAAACCTTGACAGATACCTTCACAAGCCATCAATAGCTCACAAATACAAAATAATTAGGAGTAACTCTAACAAGTAATATGTGGTTATGAGGCACCTGGCTGGCTCGTCGGTAGGGCATGAGACTTCAAGGCCCCACTGTTGGGCGTAGAGCTTACATAAAAGTTAAAAAAAAAAATAAGTGTTTCCACTGAGAGATAGAAGTAATACCAAATAAATTTATAGGTTTACACACAGTCCTAGTCCAAATGGACTTCTGTTCAGATCATGACAAAATAACCTTAAAGTTCCTCTGGATGAATTTTAAAAAAGAGAACGATGTGGAAAATGATAATTGCTAACATTTACTGAGTAAGCTTACTCTGCACTGGGCTCTTCACCTAAGCTGCAAAACAACCACCTAAGAAGCAGAAAAGACAGCGGTCAGGTAACTCAAGGAAGATCAAAATGGGAAGGCAGGCCAGGAGCTGGCCTGTTTTGTAAACATCTGAATGCATCATTGCCATTTATGGGTTTCTTAGCTGTTTCCCTTCTTTCTCCTTCATGCCCATTCAGGGCTACAGTACCTAATTTTATCTGTGATGGCCTAGTGTACCGTTGTACTATCTTCCTTTCAGAATCTCAATCTCTCGGAATCATACCCTCTTCTCTAATTCCTCAGTAATATGGCAATAATAAATTGGGGGATAAGAAGTATGTAAGGTAAAAAAACAAAACAAAACAAAACAATGATAAGGACCAAGAGATTTGGAAGGAACTTAAGGATTTCCTTAAGTTCTGCCAGCCATTTTGTAAATTTCACACAGAGTATTACTATTATTGAAGTGAACCCAGCAATACAAGTTCAGTATACCAGTCTATGGAAGAAATTCTCTTCCCTGTATTTAGAGTAAATTACGCAATCTGTGTTTTTTGATTTGTTAACTTGCATCATTTAATAAAAGTCTACCTAATAATTTAAAGATACAATGCAGTAATAAAAAGAAAATGAAACCAGCACTCTCTGGAGGAAGAATGCCGTAAATGGAATTTTTAATAAAGTGGGGAAAGGCAAAGTCCTTTCCACCATCTCAGACTCACACAGGAATACTGTCAGGGTAACAGCACAGTAAAGAAGAGCTGTCACTCCTTCTTTCAGATCTCATTCTTCAGAGGTTCAGGTCTGTGTAGACCAGACTTGCACCTCAAATGAACAACTCTTGGGTGCGGGCTTTGCTCCTGTCAAAGAATGTGAAAACTGGTGTGGTTGATGCAACGTTCTTTTGAAATCAAAATGGGTGTATCTTTTTTTTTAACAGGAAAAGAAAAAACAAAACCCTACATGTATCTTTATTAAATGGATATATATTTCACACCTGAATCAATCTGTTGACTTCATCCTGCTGCATCTGTGAATGGCGCTCTGCAGTATCTAAGAATGTCGGGATGCGGATCTTGCTCAGAGAAGTTTAAAAATGATGCAATGCCCGATCAATAAAAAAAAAAAAATTGTATATTTTCTTATCATAATGTAACATAAATCAGGTACCAATAATGAAGTAATCTAATAATTTAAAATGCACTCAATATTATATAGTTTGAAAATCTGTGTCACAAACTCTATAATATACTTATATTAGCCAGAACACAGTGTAATGAGTTTACTGTCCTTATCCGAATACCAGCATATCTACGCAGTTTTGGGTCTGGGTATTCTTAGCATAGTAAATTGTGCAGCTGGAAAGCTTTAATGCTCGGTAACGGTGCTGGTATGATCTAGATGTTCAAAGAGAGTAACATTTAAAATGAGCCACCTCCACGATTTGTAGCTGGCTGATACTATGCTTACTAACATGATGCATAAGGCTTCCAGAAAGCAAAATCAGGCTGTTACTGTAGATGTGGCTCAGTGCTAAGGAATGGTCTTATAATTACCTGTTAACCTCGCTAATTCTCACTGGTCTCTTACCTTTCCCTGTGACAGTTTGCACCATTACATCTAGACAATGATAATGCTTTACAGACCAAAGGGCTAGCTCCTCCTTAACACTCTTCATCTGCAATATTCACAGGACATTTTCACATTCATATGCAAAATATATGGTTAACTTCAATTTATGGAGAAAATGCTAAAGCCAACAAAAAGAGCTTCATTCAATTTTTCTTCATTTTATGGAACAATACTGAGAGAAAAATATGAACTGAAGGTTCATATGGTTGAATGGAAGAAGGTTTCTTGGGAAATCAACTAGAAGACCAAAATAATTGCTTCTTAACGAAGCTTTCTGGAATAATCACCTGTCTGAAAGATAACTTACCACTGATGCCATTGGATTCCTGCTGTAGGTCACAGTACCAGAGTCGGTTTACTGGATCACATCCCTCCCTTATTGACAATAAGACATAGCGACCATCGTCAGACAACTAGGAAGGAAATAAAAACATTGCAAGGGGCTGATGAGAAAATATCTTTTGTGAAAGCACCGTTAAGTAAAAAATAAAGGTTAACCTCAAATGTCATATGGTTACCCCAAATTTATGACTGGGCAAAGAAAGTTAGAAAAAAAAAAGATGAACATCAATTTTATTTTACTTTTACATCACAGTTTAAAAAAACAGTGAAATATTTAAATGGAAAATATCAATAGATATAACTGAATGTCGTGACTCAATGTGATTTTTATTTAAATTTATAGTCTCGGCTTTAACTGAGAATACATGCAATCTGTCATTTTGAGTATCAATATCCCTGACTTTGAAATTTCATCATGGGTCACATATTTTAAAATTGCTGTAAATGAGTAGGAATTAGCAAAATGGGCACGATGCAAGGAAGTTCATCTGTGGTGCACACTGGTGACATGATGCAGTTTCTACTGAACTCTTTGTGTATCTTTAGTCACCTCTACAACATGACGTCAAAGACCAAAAGCCTGTGCTTCTGTAGATTTCCTTGGTAGTATTAAATAGGAGAATCTCAGGTAGCAAAAAGAATCTTGGTAAACTAATATAACAATATATTATGATTTTGAGTTGTTGAAATTGATATAAGTGGTATCAAACTCTACATATATGCAAACACATATCCTTTTGCAATTATTTTTTTTCATTCAACGTAATTTAAAAAATTAATCCATGTCAATATATGTATATTTAATTCGTTTTTTTAACTGCTATGCAGTATTCCGATCTAGAAATATATCACAATTGATACATTTTCCCATGAATAGATGTTTTATTTTTATTTTCTTCCTATTACAAGCAACACTTCACAGAAATTCTGAACGTTTATTTGTAGCCTTATCTGTGTTTCCGAGTATATAAATAGAAGTAAAATTGCTCAGTGGTAGAATATGCACACATTCAACCTTATTAGGTGTTGCCAAATTATTTTCCAAAATGGTCGTACAGACTTACGTCTTATGTGTCACAATGAAAAACAGTTCCTGTTTTTCCACATCCTACTGTGATGGCTAACTCTACATATCAACTTGGCTAGATCACAGTACCCAGATATTTGGTCAAACATTATTCTGGATGTTTCTGTGAAGGGGTTTTTGGATGAGATTGACATTTAAATTGGTGGACTCAAGGTGATTACCCTCCGTAAATGAGTGCGCATCATCCAACCAGTCTAAAGTCTTAATAGAAAAACAGCAACCTTCCCAAGCAAGAAGTAATTCTGCCAGCAGACCACCTTTGGACTCAAACCGAAACTGGATTTCCAGCCTGCCAACCTACCTTAAGATTTTGGACTTGTCAAGCCTTCATGATCACATTAGCCAACTCTTTAAAAATAAATCTTTTTCTCTATATACACATACACATAACCTGTTGGTTCTGTTTCTCTTGAGAAGCCTAACACACTTACCAACAACTGTTACTCTTTCATATGTTCATTCCATAAGTATTTGCTAAGCAGCCATTATGTGGAAGACATTTAAAGGCATATTAATGAACAAGTCAGGAAAAAAATTTTATTTATTTTTTAACATATAATGTATTATTTGTTTCAGAGGTACAGGTGAGTGAAAAATGTTACGCTCTAGTAGAGGAGATAAACATGCAATTATGTAGCCTATTATAAAATGATGAATGCCATGGAGAACATGAACAGGTATAGGTAAGGGAGGCAGGATGTGGGGGGGGAGGAACTGTACTTTTAAATATGGTAGTCAAGAAAAAATGTCTTTCCATTGTCTCCTGCCTTGCACTGTTTCAGGTGAGAAGTCATTTCCTACCGTTTTCTCACTATACATAATGTGTGTTTTCTTCTCTGGCTGCTTTCAAGATTTTTTTATTATCATCATAGGTTTTATGCAAAGTAATTAATAAGGGGCTTTGCTGTAGTAGCCTGCTTGTGATTTGTTGAGCATTTTGGAACTGTGGGTTTGTCTACTTTATCAAATTCCTAACACTTTTGGCCTTTTTTCCCTCCTATATATTTTTGTATCCTCTCACCCCTACTGTAGGACTTCAAATACACAATGTTAGATCCCTTAGCATCATCCCACAGGTCAGTGAGGCTGTGTTCATTTTTGTTTCTGTTTTTTTTTTTCTCTCTTCTCTTTTTGGTTTATTTTCAATTGTCCTGTTTTCAAATTCACTGATATTTTTGTAGTATCTAAATTGCTATTAAGCCCATGCAGAGACTTTTTCATTTCGGATGGCTTATTTTCACACCTAGAAGAATGTCTGGTTCATTTTTATATTATTTCTTTGTTCATTATATTAACATTTTCTCAAATCCTTTAAATAGTATTTTATAATAGCTTTTAAAAAGTCCCTGTCTGGTAGTTCTACTACCTGTCATTTCTGAGCCTGTTTCATTGGCTACTATTTCTCCTGGTTAAAAGTCACATTTTTCTGCTTCTTTACACATTTAGCAACTTTTAAAAATTGGATTCTACACATTTTGAACGTTGTCTGGATTTTTTTACTTGTTGCTTTTGTCTTCCTTTAAAAAGTTTTGAGGCAGTTAATTTGTTAGTGGATCAGCTTGATCCATTGGAGGCTTGTTCTCAAGTTTGATCCATTGGAGGTTTGTTTGTTCTCAAGCTTGTTCCAGCCCCACTGGAAAGGTGTGGCCTTTCTGGGATTGCTGGTGAATACCCTGGGTGTTCACAAGGTCTTTCCATTTTGGTCAGAAAGTGGCAGTCTCCCAGACTTGTTAAACCTCTGGTAGTTGTCGGCTTATAGCTCCCTGGTAGTTGCTAGCCTGAATCATGGAGTCTCATCCCATGCACGTACTACTTAATGGTCAGCAAAGTCACAAAGGGAGACCAAGGCAGAATTCCGGGACTCTTAGTGGTAGTTCCTTCTGATACTCTGCCTGCAAATTCCAGTGGCTTCAGTCTTCCTGAATTCTTTGGATACTAAGTTCGGGGAGACTGCAATACTCTGTGGGCTCCTCTCTCCTAGTGCCAAACTCCAGAAAATATCTCCAGAAAGGCAGAAAGATGGGGCAATCACAGGACTTGCTTCCCTTATAGATGATGGTCCAGCAATGCCTGCAGACCGTATCTGCAAATGACTGCTTTACTTTGTGTACTTTTCTCGCTGTTTATGGCAGGAGGGCTGCTCTAGGACTAGTGACACTGCCAAGGCCAGAGGCAAATACCCGTCATGATGTTTTTATTTTTTTAAACTCATTTTTAATTGGATAATTACACTTTTAAGAGTATATTCTTGTGCATGCTTGAAATACACAGATATAAGAATTAAGAATGTAATTAATACGGAATTAATTTAAAAGATGATACCCATGATTCATAAAGAATATAACAATGATATATTTCCTTCCATCTCATTATACAGTAAGGCATTTTTACTGTTTCTGTTTTCTATTCCAATAAAACTTCTGTGAACTACCTGCAGCCTTTGGAGCATGCTTCTTTTCTCTTATGCAGAGGTGAAACTGTCAAACATTCACTCTGACTTGCTGCGCTGCTCTCATCAAGCCCACATATACTGATTCCTTCTATCAGTGCAATGTGATGATACCGAGCTAAATGTCATCTACACAAGAGTGCCTGAGCATGGAATACTTCAGATTTTACTTCCTAGCAGCAGCAAGTGCTTAGACTTGTAGGAATTAGATTCCAGCTCTCCGAAAATGTCCATTCACTTTCTATCTACAGGTTCATTTGGTAGACCAGCTGTTTCAGTCAAGTTCCTTTGCATTTATAAATTAATCATAATGACTATGCATGTCTAAAGTGCCCAGCATTGTTAAACACTTGGCAGCACAGGGGATGTTGTAAGTTGAACATCTCTTTCTCAGAAAAAGACTGTTCTAAAGCACAGAGATAATCTGTACTTGAGAAACAGAAGGAGAATTCCAAGTAAGTTATAGTTTTATCAAAGATTCTAGAAAGTCCTGTTTAATTTGGCCACTCTTTCCTG